GTAAAGGCTGTGTTTGAATTGCTTTTCTCAGATAGAGGACCTTCCACTTATCTGACCAGCAAAGAAAACAACTAGTTCAGCTGTGTTCTGGGCTGCTGCATATCACTGCTGAGTGGCCAAATGAGAGCACAGAAAGGCAAGAATAAGGGCCAGAGAAGGAGCTTGGACAGGTCAAAGGTAAGGAAGCTCAGAGAGGGCAAGGCCTCAGAAGAGCCAGGAGTTCTCAGCCCATACACACTTTCCTCAGTTTCCTGGGTGCTGGGACTGGTGTTAGGTTCTGAGGGCACAAAGACACTTAATACACAGCCTCCAGCATTTTAAGAGGGGTACAGTCAACAAGATCAAACACCACCAAGAGGCTGAAAGGGATGCGCCAAGAAAAGGCCATTGGTTCGTGACCACAGGCAACCTGTGAGAGTGTAGCTCAGTGGAAGGGCTGAGATAGAAGCCAGATTGCAGGAGGTTAAGTCGTGGATAGTACAGAAGGGAGGCGTGCTCTCTGGTTATTTACGGCACTGATAGGAAGAAGGAAGGCATATTCAGGAGAATAGGCTAGAGGGATGGTTTAGAGACCTCAAACCAAAAAGTTAAATTGAGAGTTATGAAGGCATTTTACAATAATTTCTTAATCTGGAAAATAAATTCATTCCCTAAATCCAGTAATTACAGACTGTAGCCTAGGAAGGTAACCAGACTAGGGGAGGATAATGGAAGAACTTTGACTCTTTATTCTACACACTAACATGGAATTTAAAGTTCCCACAATAAGCATGTGTTTTATAATTTTAAAATAAAGACTTGTAGTAGCAAAAAAGGAAAAGATCTGCAAACCTCTATACATAAAGTAGTTATATCGCTATATAATAACAAAACACAGGAAATGACTACAATGTCCAATACTAGGAGAATTAATAAGAAAATCAGGATATAATTATATCCTAGGAGCCTTTGCAACAAATCAAAGTAACAAAAACTATGTAATAACATCAAAAAAAACCCCTCTTTTTTTGTGATTAAAAAAAGGCCAAAAACGTAATGTAGACTATGATTATATAATATAAAAATACGCACAGGAAAACTGACTGAAAAATAAACCATACACACCAAAAACCATAACAGAAGTTGTGTTAGCATGCTGAGATTTAGGTGGCTTTCTCTTCTCCACTTTCTAACAGTTCTGCAAAAACAGCATGGTTTTACTACTGCTTTCATTTTTAACAGAAAAGAAAGGTGCACACCAAGAAGAAAAATCCAAGTGAGGCTGTAATGGACAAGCTGCCAGAGGAGCACGCGAGGGCTTGGGCAGCAGCCCCGCCGCCCAGCTCCACGCACAGACACGGCAGTGCAGGAACGAGCAGAGCAGAGCACGCGTGCCCATCCTCGCTTGTCGGACCCCTCTGAGCCTCAGGCACCTCACACAGAATGACTGTTTTGGAATAGATAATCTCTAAAGTCCCTTCCAGGCTTAAAATTGTATGACTCTAAGTTGAAAAAACTAAGAAATCAGAGAACAGACAAGAGAAATTAGGAATTTCTCCAGTTTCTCACATAATACAGTATACAGGCATTGGGGGGGGGCGGGGAATCTGTGCATTAAATTTCAGACAAAAATGTACAAGTACTATAGGGCATTTAATAAAATATCCATACCACTTTTAGTTTTAAAAGATGCTTACAAATTAACTGGGGAAAAATAGCTGGCTGTAAAGTTAAAAATCATTTCAAAATAAAATAACAACATAAAACAAAAATGTTTCCGTGCAGCCGTGAGGCCACATGACTAGCTGGCCTTATGAGCTGCAGAGAAGCACTTCTGCAGAGGTCATGAGAAGGGCAGACTGTGGGGCGTGGAGTGGGGGTGACAGGCCACAGTGCTATCGACACTTGTGGGAGGAGACAGACTTGAGTCGGCCCTTAAAGAATGGAGACTGGATTTCTTTTTGGGGTGATGAAAATGTTCTAGAATTAGACAGTGGTAAAGAGTTACACAGCCCTGTGAATACACAAAATTACCGACTTTTATAGTTTAAAAGGGTGAATTTTATGAGATATGAATTACATCTACATATGAATTCATATGAGGTATGAATTACAATTTTAAGAAAAGATATGGGCCATCCCTGGTGGCCTAGCGGTTACGTTCAGCACACTTGTCTTGGCAGCCCAGCTTGGGTTTCTGGGCATGGACCTACACTGCTCTGTTAGCAGCCATGTTGTGCTGGCGGCCCACATACTAAAAAGTAGAGGAATACTGCACTGTTAGCTCAGGGTGAATCTTCCTCAGCAAAAAAAAAAAAAAAAAAAAAAGGATGTGGCCAGAGGGTAACTAAGTAGAACAGTGTGGGAAATAACCAAAGGTACACCAAGGTAAGTATTGAGGGGAAAGGTAGGTTGGAAACAAATTTCAAAGGGCTCAGAAAATCAGGAAAAGGTGATTGTAAATGGTAATCCATGAGACAGTAAGGGAAGCAAAGATTCACGGACAAAGAGTGAAAGATCAGAGCAGCTTTAAGAAGGATGTCTGTTTCCTCTGCTGGGAAAAACAGGCCTCAGGTAAGCAGGGGCCAGTCCCGTTCACTTGAGACTCCAGTGTCTCAGGTGAGTTTATGAGTGATGAGCTTTGGCAGGTTACCTGGTTCTGTGTGAAAGCATAAGGCAAAACCAAGACTAGGTCACTGTAAGGCTAACTGTAATACAAATTAGTCTGGGCCTAAGCAACCTGACTCCAAACCAGCACAATGCAGAGGACTGAAAAGCTGGGAGGAAGCAAGAGATTTTCCAACTGTCTTTCCTCTCCATCAACTACATGAAATATATTTAATAGGTTTAAACACAAAAATGTTACATACTTTAGCTATTGATACATAAAACTAAGCCTCTGAACAGATTACACTTGCATAAAAAATAAGAGAAAAAAGAAGGGGAGAAGAAAAACGAGAAATGCAAGGTAAGTAGGACAGAAAGAAACGGTGAGGTGGCCACTGTCCCTTTAAGACGCTCCTTGGAGATACATAACTGCAGAAAGCCTGGTGAATACAACATTGATTGGGAATGAGGTAACCACAAACACCGCTGTCTCAAATGAAAAGGGATTCAAGATCTGACCCAGAAAACAAGCATCGTAACCACGAGATAAAATTTTAATGATAAACACAAGATGCTCTCCATACAAGCAAGATTGAAGTATCTGATGCTAGCCCATAAGCGTAAGGTTCTCTTAGAAAGAGGAGTTGTGAGGAGCCTCTCTGACCCACAGATCAAGTTTCATCTTATCGATCCACGAAACTCTGCCATCGCTTTACAGATTATGCCAGCACAAAGCAACCTCGAGCAGACCTCGAGGGAGCAGAGAGGCAGACGAAGGAGGCCTGGCATCTGGATTGCTGGCCAGCCTGCCTTTTGTAAGGTCCGTGTCCAGATCAGAAATCTATCATTGGCTTTTGAGACTGAAGTCTCCTTTATTTCTAATTTCTTTTATAAATCTTTCAGTCCAATCTCAACGTTCTGTCCTCAAGTGTCTTCCAACATACTAGGAGACCCCTCTAAGCTGGAATGATAAGTGCCTTCTGCAGTCACCAAGGAATCTCAGAATTAGTGGAGGAAAGGCCCTTATGTATCATGAGCAAGGCTTAGGCCCACACGAGAGGAACAAGAGGCAGAAGCCGAAAGCCAAAGTGACAACGGGATGGACACAATTCTAGATTTCTGCCCATTAATCTTTCTAAAACTAATAGTTCCACAGCACTCCCAAGAAGAGCATTAACCCCTAAACTGTGGCCGGTAAAACAAAAGCTAAAGAAAAGCATTCCTCCTGGGCAGATCCTGTTTAAAGTAAAATTATTTTCTTCATAGGCATTACATACCACAAAATATTACAATAATTTCATTGCTTGGAATTTCAGTCAAATAGTACTCTTTAAGGAAAGATTTTTCTTTTCTTTTCTTGAGGAAGATTAGCCCTGAGCTTAACATCTGCTGCCAATCCTCCTCTTTTTGCTGAGGAAGACTGGCCCTGAGCTAACATCCGTGCCCATCTTCCTCCACTTTCCATGTAGGATGCCTGCCACAGCATGGCTTGCCAAGTGGTGCCATGTCTGCACCCGGGATCCGAACCGGAGAACCCAGGGCTACTGAAGAGGAATGTGAGCACTTAACCGCTGTGCCACCGGGCCAACCCCAAGACTTTTCTTTAAAGAAAAAGACTCCCCTACTACTAAGTTCGAGGTTTGTTTTTGCTTTTTTTTTCCCTCCAGGAAGGACCCTCTCTTAGGTGGCCCCTCCAAAGCCAATCCAGAAGTTGAAGAATCCTGGTCTCACTTTATGGTATTACGTATACAACTTGAGACCACCGTTCAAGACATCTTCTTAATCCAAAAAGAAAATTGATCTTCTCATTGTGCATTAAAGAATACATACCAGCATCTCTGTAGTAAAATATGAAGAATTCATGCAAGTGGTTTTTGGAACAGAAGCCAAAGAAATTTACAGAAGCTAAAATTAATCTTCTTGGCCATGAAGACAAATAAACAGCCTATTTCAGGGCAAATTAAATAGTGAATACATACTGTGGGGAAGGAAGATTACGTGTGGCCACAGCCCTTCCGCATAACAAAGGCTTCGGACAAGAGAACAAGAACAGGACCTGTTCGCGCCAACACTTATTATTCTTGCTTGACTTTTTCATGTCTTCATAAAACACAAACTGTTTGCCTTAATGAAAATCTAACATAACACGCCACAAGAGTGATCTCAAAGCTAGGAAAGATATTGAGACAAAGGGATTACAGATCTACCCTCACCATTCCCATCTCTCCAGTGACTCCAGAGCTCTCAAGTACTGGGAACAGAAGTTTGCAGATTTTCCATCTCACACGTGGGCTGTAAGCAGGCAGGTACATCCTCTCAAGGGAAAATAAGGTCACTGTGACTCAGAGTTTGGTCCATGAAAAACGAAAGACCCTAAGATGAAGACTATTAAGTGAAAAATTGTTTTTGCTTACCCAGCAATGACAACGCCATCATGAGAATGCACATCACATAAAACTGCATCAGGAATGTGTTCCAGCTCACTCACGGCACCCTTGCGATTCTGTGTAAGGAAAAGGGGGAAGCAGTTTATACTATCCTTGGGATAGCTGGAAGACAAAGCATCTCACTTTCACCTACATTCCACAGCGATTTTTCACGGCGTATACTGTGTTCAAAGTAATCTGGGCATTCGAAAGGACAAAGATGACAACTAATATGTTAAGCTATCAGCATTTACGAGTTACCACACACAGGAAAAACACTGAATTAGAAGGCACGGGATGTATAAGACACTGCCCTGGTCCTCAAGGGGATTACAGGATATGAAGGAAACATGAGAGCACAAATAACGACACTCCACAGTAGGCTGGCAGTGGCAAGTGTGTGAAGAAAGGCATAAAGTACATAAAGAAATTCAGTTCAGAGACGAGGAAGCATTTAATGATAGTTTACCTGTTAACCCTTATAAGTACTCTCAGAATAAAACCAAAAAGTATATACAAAGAGATAAAAATCAGGATTGGGAAACAGAAGAAGACATTATTTCTGATTCATGGAAATAGTATTTAAAGGAAACCCTAAAACCCATAACATGGGTTGCTCCTCAGGGGGGAACTAGGTGGTAGGTGGAGACAGGCAAGGGGGAGATGTATTTCCCCTATATGCCTTTTGGTGACTTTTGAATTATTTGTAGCAAGAACATTATCTATTAAAATATATATATATATGTATATTTTTTTTGCTGAGGAAGATTTGCTCTGAGCTAACATTCACTGCCAATCTTCCTCTTTTGGTATGTGAGTCACTGTCACAGCATGGCCACTAACAGACGAGTGGCGTAGGTCCACACCTGGGAACCTCACCTGAGCTGCCAAAGTGGAGCATGCTGAACTTAACCACTAGGCCACTGGGGCTGGCCCTAAAATAATTATTTTTAAAATAAAAATAAAGGGAATCTGAAGGAATATAAAGTATTTACATGTGTGATGTTGGGAACAGTGGGATAGTTATTCAGGAATAACTGAATAATAGGTAGTTAGGAATACCAAGACTAAATTTCAATTTTGCTGGACTGGCACAAGGATTACAAATAGTCTGTGTAAGTTCTAAGCATAGTTCTTAGCATACGGCAAGTGTTCAATAAATGGTAGCTCCTATTATTATTTATATTATTAGAAGATGACATGCATTCCATTAAAATCAACATTTATTAAGCAGCTATATTCAAGGCATTGTGCATGATAATCTGCATGATGACCTCACTTAATTCGAGGGCCAAGTCCAAGGCTGAGGGACAAAAGTGGACACATCCAAGTGGATCTGTCCTGCTAGTGAAGATATGGTGATGGAAGGGAAGGACTCAGGAGTCATTGTTGTGAGGGCCACAGCCAAAATGACAATAGCAAAAGGTACTGAAAGAAAGAAGAGGGCCTGAGATGAAAACCTGTGTGCTTACAGCATCTACTAATTTCTGTCATATGGCTTCCCCCACCCCCATCATGGGCTCCAACCCCACAATGGTATTCTGGTCTTAGAGAGATCCTAGAATGCCAAAGTGAAGAAGAGTTTATGCAAACACCAGGAAAAGGAATATACAGCCACCAGAACCGGCTTATCAAACCGTTTCCATGTTGGCTCTGAAATGCAGGTCCAAGTACGTTCACACATTTACAGGTCATGCTCTCCGTGGAGGTACCTGAGAACTCTGGGGTCCCTTCTGGGGTTTCTCCAGACACTGACTAGGAGACACTAAACCAAATCACCTGCCCAGCCCAGCCTGAAGTCGACCACGCACAGCACTGAACCACAGTACGTGTGTGCAAAGGCCTCCGAGCTCCACGGCCAGCACTGACTGAGCGGCCGACATGGGCCGAGCTCTGCAGGAAGGCCGTAGACACGTCCTGAGACAGGCGAGGGCCGCAACCCCGTGAGTGGGGCTCCTCTGAGCCCAACCTTAGAGCTGAGAAGATGGAGGCAAACAAAGGTAAAGGAACTTGCTCTAAGACTACCTTCCACGTTTCGATAGGGCTTTCTTTCTAGAATCACATAAGAGTCCCATCATTACAGTTAATGCAAGATTCGTCATTTAACATTTCAGTCAAGTAGTCCCCATTCTCAGCTGTGTCAGGAAATGGACCTGTGACACCCCAGAGAGAAGCCTCCCTCGCATTCTGCCTGCAGTTTACTCCAGCTCATTCCATCAACAACCATTTGTTGAGCACTTACCAAACAAATGGCCTGGTGCTTGTTAGAGAAAAAACACTAAACAGACATCCAGTGAAACTGTATGGCACTTGTATACTGTGACATTAAGGGCCAGATGCTAAGAGGTGGGTCTTTACCCGCCTTCACTTCTGCCACCTCCAGTCCAGATGAGGAGGTCCCTGCCTCCCTCCCAGCCTTTCGCTATTACCAAAGGGGAAACAAAGAACTCAGCTGCTGATTTCTCTCTCTGGGTCTGACATCTCTGAATTCAAGCCAGGGTGACCTGAATATCTCCAGCTCTCACGCCTACAAATCTCAAAGTATCCCTCCTTTCCAGGCAGAAAGGCCCTAGTTCACGCCCAGCTCTCGAGCTTTCCTGAAATTACAGCCACTCCTACCAGGGGTAGAGCCTCTGCTTTCCGGCCCCCAGCCTGCTGAAGCAGCTCTGTCAAAGCCTCGGGCCTGCCTCTTGCTGCGTCCTCACACGCACCCGAGCAAACACACAGTCAGGAGGGCTGGGCACCTCCACACGAGGTCATTACCTGGTGTGGATGCAGCTGTGGGGCCAGCGTGATTGCGACTTAGGGTGCTGTCTTGACGGCCCAAGAAAGGACAGCTATGCAAATTCTCCTTAGAAAGGTAGTTTTCAACCAGCGGTGACTTTGCCCCCCAGGTGACCTTTGCTGACATCTGAAGACATTTTTGGTTGTCATGACTGCAGGGAGGAAGAGAGTGCTACTGGCCTCTCCCGGGGAGAGGCTACAGATGCTGCTCAACATCCTGTAATACACAGGACAGCCCTAAGCAAAAAGGATTATCTGGCCCCAAATGTCACTAGTGCTGGGGCTGAGAAATCCTGAATTAGAGAAACACTGCTCCTATTAACTTCACTAGAAAAAAACTGTGAGGTTGCCCAGATCAAGAGTATCGGTCTCTAATCAGGTTATGAGGTGACTGGGGACAGACATGCACATAGGCAATATGTCACCATCAGTAATGAGCAAAAGCTTGTTAATCTCAAAGTCTATTAGGATTGACCTTTACAGGAGTGGAAAGAGCGTGGTTCTATCCCTTCCAAACAACTGGATACCCAGCTACCCAGGCGGAGAGGCACTCCCCCACTACTGTCTCGTCATGCCTCCGACAGCTTTATGTAACACTCTTCCTGACAGCCGCTTCCTAAGAAACACCTCACTGGGAAAATTCGGGGCTGTGATCTAACATTTCTGCAGAGACTTTGAAGTGATAAATGTTATGGAAGCAAGCCAATAGGTTATGTGAGGGAAGAGAAGACAGTACGTAGAGACGTTTAATACGTTTCCTGGAAAGAGCATTTTCAGCTCCTCTTTTGTATTCAGGGGGTGCTTCTGCCTTCTTGATCCATCTAGGATGGTGAAAGTGAAAGGGGGCTGCACTGAGCACACCTCCAAAGACCCCAACCACCAGAGGGGAGGGGACTGGCACCGCAGTCTCCCTCTTCCTCTCCTGGAGGACAACAGGATGCTCCCAATACTGTGGCTGAAAATGGGGGCAGATAGCCTCATGGCGAACAACATAGACAAGAGATGACCAACAGTGGAAGGTGCGCTCACCATCCCCCTCTCTCTGATTTTGGCAGTTAACCTCGGGCTGTAACGGGACTCGGTGTTGAATCCCGGGCTTGGATTCCCGTGTCCTCATAGGCTATTCCTCTACAGGTAATGATACTGGCCACTGCCTACCTTCCAGTTGGTTCGCAACATGTGTTCCTTGGCTCGGCACTCTTGCAAGATGAGCTTCCAGCAAGAATAATCCGAGATGCTGCTCTCAGGAAGGTGCCCTTCCTGCTGGCACAGCCTGTACCAGAGCACTTCATCTTCCGCAATCACCTTCCACGTCTTGCTCACCTAAAACAGCGCAAGTGACACAAGTGTCAAATTCTGCAATTAGAGAAGCCCTTTGTCATCCAAAAATCAATCAACACCTTTATTGTTGCCCTGGGTTTATGGCAGTATAAAATGTCTCATTAACAAAACACTCCGAGGTGAAAAAAAATACAAGCAAATGTTTCCAGTTTTATCTTTCAAGATTTCAAAATTGTACCACCATCTGATATCACATTTTAGACTATTTGGTTAAATTATTATATAACATAAGAAAAAAACACAAATACACAAAAGGCAAAAAATACACACTGTAACACGTTAATACACACACAATCATACACAGCTTTTCAGAAAAGAATCTCTTTACTTTTTACCAATAGGCACTTGTATTTCCATCTTATAGAGCTGGAGACTGATGGCCTCTGAAATAAAAAGCTGTAATAAAATAAATATTCATAACTCAAAACTTCTGGTCCTATGAGAAATTCAAATTTATATTATGTGTGAAAACTTAGATTTTAAATGCGTAGATTAAAAAAATATTTAACAGAAAACCCGAGCTGTTAACCAGGTCTCTAAGATCTGTTATAGAGAAATTAACGCTACATCTGGACTGAATTTCAAATCCCAACAGTATCAAGAGGAAACGGCCGTTTTTGCTATCAGTGCCTTCTCTTCCAACTCTAACTTGGGGGAAGGATGGATTTACTTCACCAGAGGATAATGTACAAAGTTGGGCAGACTGAAAAGGTTGGACTCTGCCGGCAAGATGAGAAACTGAGCCAGCAGATCAACATGCTCTTGGTCTGCCACACATTGTGTTCGCTGCCCATCCAATGCGTGCAAACCCCTTCTAAAAAGAAGAGTCGCGACCCGTGGTTTACAATAAGCTGTGCTCCTTAACAGTCCTTTGGGACCACTTCGAGACATCAAATACACAGACAAGAAGACGGAATATGAGACAAAGTAAGGGAGAGAGCACACAGCATGTGCATGACAGACTCTCGTCGCACAGGGTGCCTTGTTTAACGAAGTACTTACTGATAGGGAGCTAACTTTCAGGACTGCAGAGTAAAGATCTCCGAAAAATCTGCTCCTCCATAAAAGCAACAAGAATACTGCCAAAAAGCGTCAAAGTCAACTTTTTCAGAACTCTGGAAATTAATTAAAGGCCTGAAACATTCTGAGGAACATTTATTCAAGAAAAACGGCTGAATTTTGATAAGAATGGTGTGTTGTTTTAACTTGCACTAATCCCATCCTCCTCCTCCAGCCCTACAGTAGCCTTGAAAACCAACATCCTTACAACTATGGTAGCTGTAAAAACCAGCCGCCTAGCAGCCACTGGGGAGGCCAGATCGGTGTACAGCTCCCCAAAAGTGCCGTCCCCAGAGAACTGCCACCATTTGACCTGCCTGGCAGCTTGCTGGAAAGCTCTATTCTGAAAGCTTGTCTTTGTCAGACCTGCCTTGGATCTTGCTCTGTCCTATCTCCAGAGTATTTCTCAGAAACCATAAGGGACAACTGCTTAACCCTGCAGCTGCCCAATGCCTCATTACCAGCTGGGGCTAAAAATAGGTTGACCAAAAGGTTTAAAAGGAAAACCTGGGGAATGGGATGTCCATAGGGGACTTTGAAAGGCTCCAATATATTCCTGGGACTCAAGAATGCCATGAGCACGTGGAGGACTATGTGTGAGCCCAGGAAAGACCTGAGAAGGCCCTGATCTTTCAACTCTGGCCAACCTTGAGGCTCTAAACAAGCAGGATGCGAAGGCTAAGGCACAGCTGTAAACTGGTGACACATTGAAGGTGGCCCCCAACATACAGAGAGCACCTCAGCAAAGGCAGGGAGATTTAATGGTTCATGTACTTAAGGAAATCTCCATCTGATCACTAGCTACCACTAAACTAACTGAGCAGAGATTTCAGTGGTTGCACATGACAAAGAAAACAAACTAGAGAGTTAGTTCAGAAAAATCACCAAACAAACAAACAGCAGCAACAACAAACCCTCCATATGGGAGAGAATCTGATTTCGAGAGTTGTCACATTATTTTAAAAGTCCATTTTTTAACAAAAAAATTATGAGACATGCAAAGAAACAGTAAAGTATGACCCACAGACAGAAAGAAAAAGCAGTCAATGACCCTTAGGAAGTCCAGACGTTGGGCTTACTAAACAAAGAGTTTAAATCAGCTATTATAAATATATTCAAAATACTAAAGAAAAGCAAGTCTAAAGAAATGAAGGTGTGAGCACAATGTTTCAAGTATAGAATATTGAGGAAGAGAGAGAAATTTTTACAAAAAGAACCAAATAGAAGTTTCAGAGTTGAAAAGTACAGTAACTGCAACAAAAAATTTACTAGAGAGGCTCAACAAGAAATTTAAGCTAGCAGAAGAATCAGCAAATTTAAGGTCAATTAAAGTTATCTAGTCTGGGGCCGGCCCCGTGGCCAAGTGGTTAAGTTCGTGTGCTCTGTTTTGGCAGCCTGGGCTTCACCAGTTTGGATCCTGGGCACAGACCTAGCACCACTCATCAAACCATGCTGTGGTGGCATCCCACACAGAAGAACTAGAAGAAGCTACAACTAGGATATACAGCTATGTAGTACTGGGGAGCTTTGGGGTGAAAAAAAAAAAAGGAAGATTGGCACAGGTGTTAGCTCAGGGACAATCTTCCTCAAGCAAAAAGAGGAAGACTAGCCACAGATGTTAGCTCAGGGCCAATCTTTCTCACCAAAAAAAAAAAAAAAAAAAGTGGCAAGTCTTCTGTCACTTTTCTGAACCAAAGTGTCACACTATCATGCTAAAGGTGTCACACTGGCTCAAGGCTTCAATGGTTTAGAAACTGAAGAATTAAGAGGGGTCCTGGAGATCAATTAGGCACAACTTCCTGTCACAGGAAAGCTCCTCACAGCATGCTTGGTTGGTAGCAGGCTTCTGGTGAAGAGCTGACCTCCCAAATCAGTCTGACCTACTGCAAAGCAGTCTTTTAGAAAGTGCTTCCTAAACTGAAAGCCATCCCTCTGAGAACAGGAACAAGACAAGGGTGCCCACTATCACCATTCTTATTCAACATAGTACTGGAGGTTTTGGCCAGAGCAATTAGGCAAGAAAAAGAAATAAAAGGTATCCAAACTGAAGAAGTGAAACTCTCGCTACTTGCAGACCATATGACTTTATATACAGAAAACCCTAAAGAATGCATCAGAAAACTACTAGCAATAATCAACAACTACAGCCAAGTTGTAGGGTACAAAATCAACTTACAAAAGTCAGTTGCATTTCTATACTCTAATAACAAACTAACAGAAAGAGAACTCAAGAATACAATCCCATTTACAACTGCAACAAAAAGAATAAAATATCTAGGAATAAATTTAACCAAGAAGGTGAAAGACCTATACACTGAAAACTATAAGTCATTATTGAAAGAAATCAACAATGACATAAAGAGATGGAAAGAGATTCCATGCACATGGAGTAGAAAAATAAACACAGTTAAAATGTCCATACTACCTAAAGCAATCTACAGATTCAATGCAATCCCAATCAGAATCCCAATGACATTCTTCAGGGAAATAGAACAAAGAATCCTAAAATTCATATGGGGCAACGAAAGACCCCAAATAGCTAAAGCAATTTTGAGAAAAAAGGAACAAAGCTGGAGGCATCACAATCCCTGACTTCAAAGCATACTACAAAGCTATAGTGATCAAAACAGCATGGTACTGGTACAAAAACAGATACAAGATCAATGGAACAGAATTGAGAGCGCAGAAATAAAACCACATATCTATGGACAGCTAATCTTCAACAAAGGAGCTAAGAACATACAATGGAGAAAGGAAAGTCTCTTCAATAAAAGGTGCTGGGAAAATTGGACAGCCACATGCAGAAGAATTTAAGTAGACCATTATCTTTTGCCATATACAAAAATAAACTCAAAATGGATCAAGGACTTAAAGGTAAGACCTGAAACCATAAAACTTCTAGAAGAACACATACGCAGTATGCTCTCTGATGTGTCTTAGAAGGATCTTTTCGAATATTATGTCTACTCGGCCAAGGGAAACAAAAGAAAATATAAACACGTGGGACTTCATCAGACTGAAGAGCTTCTACAAGGCAAAGGAAACCAGGAACAAAATGAAAAGACAGCCCCCCAAGTGGGAGAAAATATTTGCAAGTCCTATATTGGACAAGGGGTTAATCTCCAAAATATATAAAGAACTCATACAACTCAAGAACAAAAAATGGGCAGAGGATGTGAACAGACATTTTTCCAAAGAAGATATACAGATGGTCAACAGGCACGTGAACACATGTTCAACATCACTAATCATCAGAGAAATGCAAATCAAAACTACACTGAGATATCACCTTACACCCGTAAGAATGGCTACAATCACCAAAACAAAAGATAAACGTTGGAGAAGATGTGGAGAAAAGGGAACCCTCATACATTCCTGATGGGAATGCAAACTGGTGCAGCCACCATGGAAAACAGTATGAGGATTTCTCAAAAAGTTAAAAATCGAAATACCACACGACCCAGCTATCCCACTACTGGGTATTTATCCAAAGAACTTGAAATCAACAATTCAAAGAGACTTACGCACCCCTATGTTCACAATGTTCACAATGGCCAAGATATGGAAGCAACCCAAGTGCTCATCAACTGATGAATGGATAAATATGCGGCATATATACACAATAGAATACTACTCAGCCACAGAACAGACAAAATTGTCCCATTTGTCACAACATGGATGAACTTAAGGTATGATGTTAAGCAAGATAAGCCAGATAGAGAAGGACAAACACCATATGATTTCACCCATATGTGGAAGACAAAGAAAGTGCTTCCTGGGGCAGGCCCAGTGGCATAGTGGTTAAGTTTGCCGCTCCACTTCAGTGGCCCAGCGTTCACGGGTTCGGATCCTGGGTGCGAACCTACACACCACTCACCAAGCCACGCTGTGATGGCGTTCCACATACAAAACAGACAAAGACT